CCTGCTGAAGTCAATGAAAACCTGCATGATGCCAGAATCTGTCATGGTGGACCTCAACACGAGGTCACAGCCTAACTCAATATCCACTGTGCCATGTTGCTCTTCTCTGTTAACCCATCATGCATAAATATTTGAATGTTTGGTCTTCATTACATTTAGCGGTTTGAAATTTGTGCTGCTTTCTACATTTTCATGGGGTGTAATGGTAAAACATGAATGACTTTAATATCCTCTGATGGTGGAAACGACACAGCACCTTGTTTCATGAGTTCAAAAGCCTCTGCATTAGGAATCCTTAAATTTCCTTGAATTGACAAGAATCTGTGGTAAGTCTGTGAACAATGTGAATTCAGAGGCATTTTTTTAAAGTGGGGACACATACTTAGTTGACGGAAGTTACATCTAAAAGCAAAATATTTGCTGCCAGATGCTCAGGAACTGTGCTCAAACTGTGCAGCTCTGAATATTACTGGGATTTAGCATCAGTCAATTTAAGCAAAGATTTACCAGCTATTTGCAATTTTTTCCTATCGGCTTAGTTTGAAAAGACTGAAAATGTGTTCCCTTGTGTCCCACAGATTTTCCTCATTCCACCAGGTTTCAGTGATGCCTATTATGTCTATCTCCTCATTTAATACGAGGTACTCTAGTTCACCCATCTTATTAGTCAGACTCCTAGCATTTGTGTACAAGCACTTTAAAAATTTGCCACTGGTTATTTGTCTGCCCTTCCCTGATGCATTGGATTCCTTTGTATGCGGTTGTTTGTCAGCTCTGGCCCATGGTTTGCCCTCTCCCCTCCTCTCTTTCCGACTACAGCTTAGAGAATCTCTATCAACGGATTCTCCTCTAAGAGAAGTCTCTCTCCGATTTACATGCATCTCCGCACCAATCGGCTTCCCCCCCTCTCTTAGTTTAAAAACTGCTCTACGGCCTTATTAAACATGGTTTGCCCTCTCCCCTCCTCTCTTTCCGACTACAGCTTAGAGAATCTCTATCAACGGATTCTCCTCTAAGAGAAGTCTCTCTCCGATTTACATGCATCTCCGCACCAATCGGCTTCCCCCCATCTCTTAGTTTAAAAACTGCTCTACGGCCTTATTAATGTTTAGTGCCAGCAGTCTGGTTCCACCCTGGTTTAGATGCAGTATTTATTGTCAGGGAAAACATACTAGTATCCACACTTGCAGAGAGGGCAACTAAAACTAAAACAGGAATTTGCCCAAGGAAGTGAATCAGCAACATCTCGGATTGCTCTTATGCATAATATTATTACATACAGGAGTGGCCAAATTTCCAGCTGGTGTCAATTGACAATGGCTCTGTTGATTTCAATTAAATTATGGATAATTGGCACCACCTAAACATTTGGTCTGAGGTTTTTATTTAACAAGGATAGGGTTTTTTTTCCTTTTGTAAAACCTGGCTGATTTTTATGTTGCTGAAAACACACTGAACTGAATATATTCTGGGTATATTTAATTTCTTAGAAAACAAAGACATTTGTCCATCTGCGGTCAGTTTTACTTTTATATGACTGACACTATTCCTGTTTTTTGGACAGACCAACATTTAGAGTCTGTATTTGAGTCACACTGGTCCAATGTTGAGCATAATATGTAAATGGAGTCCACATTAATTGATAATACAGTACTTCCCTTTTTATTAAGTTGTATGCAAGACAGTTAATATATTATGATAAGGCACATTGCCCCTCCAAGCCCCTTAAAGCTCTGGAGATTCCTCCACCCCAGGAACTAGTGTGTTGTTCCCCTCTCCTGTCAAAACTAGCACCTCTACATGCCCTGGTCTACACTGGGGAGCTTGTTTTGAAATAATAAACGGAGTGTCCACACTACTGAGCTCATTACTTCAAAATAATGGGTTGGTCATTTTGAAATCAGTAGTCTTGCTTTCCTTGGGGAATAATGTTTATTTCAAAATTGTTATTTCGAAATAGCATTAGTGTGAACACTGTGGTGCTACTATTCTGAAATAACTATTCTCCAGAGTATTTCAGAGTACAGTAATTGGGCTTCTTGGGGCTGTGAGTTGAGCTAGCACATACACAATAATAAAGTCCGTGGACTAATTTTGAGGCTTCCCTCTAATGTGGACATATTTTGATTTTGTTATTTCAGGAGTTATTAAATCAATTTAGTTATTTCAAAATAGTTTCCTTGTGTAAATGTGTCCCATGGAACCAAAGTCATTTAACTTGACTGGTAAATATTAATGGAAATGTGTAAAAAAAGACCGAATTTTACGCATGGAAAAAAACTTTTCAGAAAATCTTCAAGATTGTTTAAAAACATAAACATACAACCAGTCATAGAAACTCTGGTCTAACCAAGTTATGTTTGATGAAAGAGTAGTTCTGTCTCCACAGAGCAGCCCTAAGGCTCACAATCTTATATATAAGAAAATATGATCCTTTGGCAGCTGATTTAGGGATGTTCCAATTATGTCACCCATTCCTTAGTTTCTCCTTTTATATCAGAGGCTAAAATACTGTGCAATGCTCAATCAGTACCAAAGACTCCATAGCAGAATGAAGGAGCTAACCTTAAATTTAACCTTTTAAAATAAATATTTAGCATATAGGCTTTGATTTTGTGTGTGTACATAAATATAAACATATGGTTATTTCTGGGTTTTTTTCTAGGAATACACCATAGATATAATTTTTGCCCAGACTTGGTATGACAGTCGCCTGAAATTTAACAGCTCAATGAAAGTGCTTATGCTCAATAGCAATATGGTTGGAAAAATTTGGATTCCAGACACTTTCTTCCGGAACTCAAGAAAATCTGATGCTCATTGGATTACAACTCCAAATCGTTTGCTTCGAATCTGGAGTGATGGACGAGTGTTATATACTCTGAGGTAAGGGTTCATTAACAGAATAGAAAAGATAGAGCACTTCATTAATATTTTCACTCATTATTTTAATCTGCAATCCATTAAAATTAAACCTATTAATTTTAAGACTTTGAAAACAATTGCAACTGACAAAAATAAATGAATTATTGTTACCAAGCAAAAATATTGATGAGGACTTTGAGAGGATTATAGTAAGCAGTAACTTCTAGGTCTTCTTTGCTTCCGAAGTTCAGAGGACCAGAAATAATGTAGAGTAGAATTTGTTGTGGCTTAGTCAAGTGGAACATAAAATATATGCTGTTGTAATGCACTACTCAACAAGAAAGTAAATAGAAACAGGGGACAGATTTGCTTAATTTAGGCTCAAGAAGACAGTAAAGATAAATGTAATAAGATGTAATAAGATTAACGTAATGTGACAAGCCAATACCATAATTTGTGTTTAACTTCTGAAGTGTCACTACTTCAGCTGTACACTGGACAGTAGTTACTGTACTGAATTGAACTCCTAATTGTCCCTTATAGCTATTTTGCACAAATTATGTTTTAAGAAAAGAAAACACCAAGTTAACATATTAGTCCTAAATACTTATATATAATGTGCAGTGGGAAGCAGATATTTTCCAGTATAGAAAAGTATCCAGTAATAATCCATTAGAAGTAAAATTTAAAAAAACCCTCTAACATGATTTAAAAGGACATTTAAGTTGATTTTATAAAAATTGCCTTATTTTTAAGAGTGTGGTTTTCTTCTAGAGTCCTCTTTAAAGAGTATATCCTACTTTCTAGAATTTCATGCTCATCTGATTATGTTTTTTAAGTATCACCACCAAACTTGCTCAAAGCCATGTCTTTTCCTGTTGCCAGTTGTTGTTCTAGGCCTGCCAATTGCCGCTGTTTCTGAAGCTCAGTAAGGGTACATCTACACAGCAACATTATTTCAAAATAACTTAGTCCACATCTACACAGCAGGCAGTTCTTTTGAAATAATGTTGAAATACAGTCAAGCTAGAGGACTTCTTACTCTGACTCCTATAACCTTCATTGTACGAGGAGTAAGGCAAGTTGGCGGAAGAGTGCTCTATCTCAAAATAAGCGCTGTGTAGATGCGCTCAATTTCTAAATAAGCTACACAATTGACGTAGCTCAATTTGCGTAGCTTATTTTGAGTTAAGTCCTGCTGTGTAGATGCAACCTAAGAGCAGTGGATGAGAGTGATATCACTAAGCTAGTCTATGAGACAGGGAGTGCAGCTGACCTTCAGCAAAACTCAGTGCTGTCCAATGTATACATTTGTATTAGGGAAATAGATGGCCTGAATTTGGCCTAAAGTGGAAGTAAATGGAGAAAAGCAAAGTTCGTACAATAGTGAATGAAGGTGCAACAACAGGCTCTGACAACACAACAGGACATTGGGCTATAGATACCCCAAATGGCCTTTGCCATTTCCCTTTTGGCGCTTTGTGGAGTAAGATTGGCACTTCTTCACCTTCAGCTTGACAGGCAGGCTGAGTTTCCTTATTTTGTCTCCCCTGAGGTTTGGTCAGCTGGTCTCTTCAAGATACCCATCTATGATCCCAAACCTAATTTATGTTGTCTTAAATAAAAACTGATTTCATTGAGCAAATCACTGAAAAGAAAACACGGGGTATAAACTTTCAGATTGAAATAAACTATGTTTTCTACAGCATGGTAGAAGTTCTTTCCTTCTTGCATTCTAAAGTCTGTCTGTCTTAAGTGGTCAGGTCAAATTTCTAGACAGGCCCCGAAAGAAGTGTGTATATAAAATAATACTTCATAGTCCGGTTTTCCTTGTCAGCTTATCCCTTGCACCCCTCCATCCACTCATGAATATTTAATCATAGTATTACTCTCAGAAATCCATTTAACTTACTCTTACCAAAGAAAAGGGGAGATTTAATAGCATAAATTAGAGACTGGGGCCTTATTCACAGTGGAAGTCAATGGGCACTTAGGGACCAAACATGTGCCTTTGAAAGTTTTTTTAATAGATGTAAAGTGTAATTTTCAAAAGCCCCTAAATGATTCAGCAGCCTAAGTTTTAGTTTCTGGAGTGATTTAGGGTGCTTATCTTTTTGAAAAGTTACCCATGAGCATCTTCTCTTTAAGAGCCTGATCCTGTTACTAATATTAGTACCACTAGCTTCACTGAAACTATCTACATGAATGAGATCTGCAGGATGGGGCCCTATGTACTCAATTTTACTATTGCACATCTAGGCACCAAGCATAATGATTCCAAATCCCACTTTGAGAAAACCCATTAGAATGGGGTATGTCTACACTACAGCGCTAATTCGAACTAACTTAGTTCAAATTAGTTAATTCGAACTAAGCTAATTCGAACTAACGCGTCTAGAACTAAAAACTAGTTCGAATTAGCGTTTTGCTAATTCGAACTAGCATGTCCACATTAAGTGGACCCTGAACAGGGCTTAAGGATGGCTGGAAGCAGTGCCGGCAGGGCATCAGAGGAGAACTTAGAGCGTGGAGATGCTGTCTCAGGCTAGCCGAGGGCTGAGCTTAAAGGGTCCCGACCCCCACCCCGGACAGACAGTTCTCGGGGTGCCCCGCTTGAAAACCAGTCCTGGCTTGGAGTGCCCGGAGTGCCCACACTGGGCACATCACACCACTCGGCCATCAGCCCGGCTGCACTTGCCGCAGGCTGCCATCTGGGAAGAGGGGGGCAATTGGGGGGCTGCAGGAGAGCTTCCACCCCCAGAAGCCCGCAGAGCCAGCCCAGTCCTCCCCATCGGGGGCTCGTACCCCATTCCTCCCTCACCTCCTTCCACTTACCCTTCCCTAACCCCCCTTCCTGATGTACAAAATAAAGATAACGTTTCTTCCAACATTGACTCTGTCTTTATTGAAAAAAAACTGGGGGAGACTGGGAAAAGGAGGTGGGAGAGGGGAAGAGAAAGGCTGGGAGAAGGGAGAGCAACTAACATGATCGGGTTGGGAACAGGTCCCATATGAAGAGAGGCTACAGAGACTGGGACTGTTCAGCTTAGAAAAGAGGAGACGGAGGGGGGACAGGATAGAGGTCTCTAAAAGCAGGGGTTGGGTGGAGAGGGTGCATTCAGAAAAGTTCTTCATGAGTTCCCATAAAGAAGGACTAGAGGACACCAAAGGAAAGGAATGGGTAGCAGGCTTCAAACTAGTAAGAGAAAGTTGTTCTTCTTCACAAAGCAAATAGTATACCTGTGGAACTCCTTGCTGCAGGAGGCTGTGAAGGCTACAACTAGAACAGAGTTTAAAGGGAAGTGAGATCAAGTCATGGAGGTTGGGTCCATGGAGTCCTATTAGCCAGAGGGTAGGAGTGGTGTCCCTGCCCAAAGTTTGTGGAAGGCTGGAGAGGGATGGCACGAGACAAATGGCTTGGTCACTGTCTTCGGTCCATCCCCTCCAGGGTCCCTAGGGTTGGCAGCTGTTGGCAGACAGGCTACTGGGCTAGATGGACCTTTGGTCTGACCCAGGACGGCCATTGTAAGCTCAGGGCTCAGTGTCGGGGGTCTCAGTGGACCCCCTTGATTTTCATGCACACCTGGTCCTGGGTGGCCAGGCTGGCAGCTCTCCTGCCCTAGACGGCCACTTTCCTGTGCCTAGTGCAGAGATCGTGGATGAGGTCCACGATGTCTGCACTAGCCCAGGCGTGTGCCCGCTGGGGGGCATCGGGTGGGTGGCTCGATCCGCGCCAGGTGCAGGGTCTGCTGGCTGGGTGCTGGCAGGCTTGCACCTGGCACGGGCACCGTAGCCAGCCCGTGCCCCTTTAAGGGGTCCGGGGCCGGGAGGGGGGCATAGAGTTTCCCTGGTGTTGGCCAGAGTGGCCACCAGGGAAACCTGGGAAGCCTTAGCCTCCCACTAGTTCGAATTAAGGGTCTACACAGCCCTTAATTTGAACTAGCTAATTCGAACTGGGCTTAATCCTCGTAAAATGAGGTTTACCTAGTTCGAACTAAGCGCTCCGCTAGTTCGAATTAAATTCGAACTAGCGGAGCGCTAGTGTAGCGCCTATCAAAGTTAGTTCGAACTAACGTCCGTTAGTTCGAACTAACTCTGTAGTGTAGACATACCCTAGGTTATTAGGTGGTCTAACATATAACCATCTACCAATGACTTTTGCACAAAGGACATGTGGTTTAAGACGTCCAGGGCGCAGTAGAAAGAGCACAGCTCTAGGTCCTTTGCTAATTGCTGATGAAGAGCTCTCCCTCTCTTGGGTAAACAACACTCTCCTACAACTCTCCCTCCTCTTTGAGGTGAGAACAGCTCCTATTTTAATCAACTTGTACTAGTGAAGAGCTGAAAGGACACAAAAATAGAATGCATACTTGATGTATTTTGTGAGTAACAAATTAGCATGACCAGACTCACAGGTCTTCAAATAGTACTTGGTGATTCTTTAGAGATGATAATACTTTTTTTATATGCTCAGTCCCTAATACACATTCATTGGCCCCAAATGACTTGCATGCACTCTCATATGTAGTCTTAAGGACCTAGGTCAGTGAGGGACAATCTAGACTAGTGAGAATACCATATAAGTGGCCCTTCTTCATCTCAGTTGGTTGCAAGATTGTCATAATCGAGACAGTCTCCCGGAATAGGATAGTTTCGCTAACTGCGCTTCTGTACCTAGAATTTATAGGGTGTGCCGATTGGACCATAATAGTGCTATGATTGGATGCAGAGGTTGCACACGGCTCTCACAGGTAATATTATGCGCATCTCTTCATGTACCCGTGCTTTAAGTGCATGTCACTTTTGTAATAGTGGTAGGAAAAACCTACACAGATGGAACCCAGCAGAATCCGGCAATCTTGTGTGTGGGCAATGGTAAACAAAACGCCTCAAGGGCCACACAAAGCACACAGCATGCAGCCCTCAGGCTATAAGTTGCCCACCACTGGTCTAGGTGCTTGAACATAATCTCACTTATATTTTTTGTTCTAATTAGGTTGACAATTAACGCTGAATGTTATCTTCAGCTTCATAACTTTCCTATGGATGAGCATTCCTGTCCTCTGGAGTTTTCAAGCTGTAAGTGGTAAAATATTAACTTTCTATTATTATTTTCTATTTTCTATTATTTAAATTCAAACTTTCTATTATTTAAACTCAACTAGGCATTGTCAATCTCCTGATAGCAGCATTTCATACCTCAGTAGACGGTTTCTCCATTTTTAACCATCCTATTACGAAGAGATTCCTCAAGGGACTCGAGAATGTGTATCCACCAAATAAGGCCCCACCCCCTTTGTGGGACCTAAATCTTGTTTTGAACTGCCTCGCCAGACCTCCCTTTGAGCCACTGGCAACAGTACCACTTCCTTTCCTTTTTATGAAAGTCTGTTTCCTCTTAGCCATTACCTCCGTCAGGAGGGTGAGCGAACTCAGAGCATTCATGTCAGAACCTCCTTACACAGTTTTCACAAAGGATAGGGTCATACTTAGACCCCACCCCACGTTTTTGCCAAAGGTCTGTACAGAATTCCATCTTAACGAACCGATCGTATTACCTACCTTTTTCCCAAAACCACATTCTTCGCAGACAGATGCCAGCCTGCACACTCTGGACATCCGGAGGGCTCTGGCCTTCTTCCTAGAAAGAACAAAACCATTTCGTAAATCTGAAAGACTTTTTATCTCCATTGCTGAATGATCCAAAGGGACACCAATATCATCTCAACGAATCTCAAAGTGGATATCGACATGTATAATCAAATGGCACTCTCTGGGCAATAGACCGCTCCAATGCCCACCACAAGCACATTCTATTCGAGCCACGGCTGCTTCTATATTTATACTTTTTAAAGCAAATTAAGTATGAAATAAATGAAGAAAAGTATCTACCATATTTAAACTTTAAAAATCATCTCAAATTATGCCCCTCAGTTTAAATGTAATAAAACAATCATTCTAAAGAAACAGAATCACTACAAATTATATTGAAATATTGCATTATTAATTTGAGATATACATTTCCCTTAAATGACTATTTCTGTATCATTTTGGTTGGTAGTACAGTTGGCCAATTAAAACTAAGACAACATTTTTAGGGTAAAGCTTAACAGTATATCAGGTATGCTATAGAACAGTTGTTTTCTAATCCAGTTACTTGGGTTGTATCTAATTTCAGAGATCACAAGTGAAAGCGTTCTTTTCTATATGCTGTGAATGAATACTTGTTTGCTCTACTTTGTCCTAGATGGATACCCCAGAAATGAAATTGAATACAAATGGAAGAAAACCTCTGTTGAAGTTGCAGATCCCAAATACTGGAGATTGTATCAGTTTGCATTTGTAGGATTACGAAATACAACTGAAATTTCCCATACTATGTCTGGTAAAAAAAAAAAAAAATCTGATGTTTCCTTGCATGCGTTTAAAGGGTTAGCAGCCTATGCATTTCATTGTTTGCCTAAATTGTGCAAAGAAATTGGAGAAAGGGGTAATGAACAAGGTGGCAAAATTTGCGGATGACACAAAATTGCTCAAGATAGTGAAGTCCATATCAAACTGTGAAGTGCTTGAATGGTATCTCACAAAATTGGATTACTGGGCAACAAAATAGCAGATAAATTTAATGTTTATAAATGCAAAGTAATGTAATATTTGCAAACATTATTCCAACTATACATATAGAAAGATGAGGCTTAAATTAGCTGTTTACACTCCAGAAAGAGACCATGTGGATAGGACAGCTTTCTGAAAACATCCACTCAAGGTGCAGCAGCAGTCAAAAACAATGTTGGGAATTATTAAGAAAGGGATACACAAGAAGACAGAAAGGCTATGTCAACACAGGCAGCTTCTCGCGCAAGAACTCTTTTGCAGAAGAGTTCTTGTGCGAAAACTCTTCCACAAGAGAGCGTCTACACTGCCATATGCTTTTGCGCAAGAGCTTCCATGGCAGTGTAGATGCTCTCTTCCACAAGAAAGCTCTGATGGCCATTATAACCATAGGGGCTTCCTGCACAAGGAATTCATGTTGCCTGTCTACACTGCCCTCTTCTGGAAGAACTCTTGCACAAGAGGGCTTATTCCTCGTGGAGGGTATGTCTACACTACAGCACTAATTCGAACTAACTTAATTCGAATTAGTTAATTCGAACTAAGCTAATTCGAACTAGTGCATCTAGACCTAAAAACTAATTCGAATTAGCATTTTGCTAATTCGAACTAGCATGTCCACATTGAGTGGACCCTGAACCGAGGTTAAGGATGGCCGGAAGCAGTGCCGGCAGGGCATCAGATTAGGACTTAGAGCGTGGAGCTGCTGCCTCAGGCTAGCCGAGGGCTGTGCTTAAAGGGACCCGACCTCCACCTTGGACAGACAGTTCTCAGAGGTTCCCCGCTCGCTTGTCTAACTTGATGAGGGACAGAAAAGCATGCCTGGCTTGGAGTGCCCTGAATGCCCACACTCGGCACATCACAGCACTCAGATATCAGCCCAGCTGCACTTGCCGCAGGCAGCCATCCGGGGGGCGTGATCAATCGGGGGGCTGCAAGAGAGCTTCCACCCCGAAGAGCCCGCAGAGCCACCCCAGTCCTCCCCATCGGGAGCTCGTACCCCATTACTCCCTCACCTCCTTCCACTTACCCCTCCCTAGTCCCCCTTCCCGATGTATGAAATAAAGGACACGTGTGTTCAAAAATAGAAACTCCCTTTATTTAACAAAACTGGGGGAGACTGGGGAAAGGAAGTGGGAGAGGGGAGGGCAACTAAAATGATCAGGGGTTTGAAACAGGTCCCATATGAAGAGAGGCTAAAGAGACTGGGACTTTTCA